TATTTTCACATGTGAAAATATCAGTTTTTCGAAAAGGCGAAATATAGGTATTTTACGGATAATTATATGATAAAATAATTTCTTAAATTAATTTATTAAACATTTACTAATTGTCGCTTAGTGTTTTGTTTTCAGTACTTCACACTTCGTGTCAACAAAACTTCAAATATTCGTTCTACTTTGAGTAAGGGACGGACCATTAGATAGTTGATGGGGGAATTGCGTAAATCCCCCAAAAAATATCGAGCAAGCACTTAAACCTCAAAAAAATATCATGCAACCTCTTCTGCTAGAAAAAAAATGTCTAACTGTACGCAGAAAATAACGTGCAAGAGTTGAGCCAAAAAAATAAATATCATGCAACCAAGATTCGTGCAACCACCCCCCTCCCCCCCTGCCCATCAATCATTTAATGGTCCATCCCTAAAACAATCGTCTTTACTTTAAATAATATAGCTTTTCGTATGGAATACAATTTTACCATGCTTTTGGTACGAAATTATCAAAAATCAGAGTAGTAAACATTTACTGAAGAACTTTGTGTTTGGTAAATTTTCATGAGTAATATTAACTATCTTCCTAGCAGCAAATTCAAAATAATCGACCAGCCACATATTCATTGCTTCCTTAAGAATTATCAAATTTATGAGTACATGGTCAGTAGTACTACAAGTCAGTATATAATAAATGCTGCAATTAGAACGAAAAATTAAAAATATATATTTGTTCAACTGTGACTGAGATAAAATGGTTGAAAGTTTGAGGCAGCTGATTTAACATAAAGCTGAGTAAACAGAAATCTTCAGCAAATAACTGAAACCAATGTAATCAACTCTTAAACGAGACTTTTGTTAGTTCACATAATATACCTCAAAGACTGTGAAAGTGAAGGACTAACGGGGTCATTCAGTTTGATCCACAGTAGCCAACGAACAACTAAATGGCGATGTTAGGCTGTTTGGTCTCCCTCATAGTCTTAGTTCAGCTTTTCCAAGTTGCATTCTCATGTCCATGCTCGTGGACAACCTGCCGTCACCAATGGCGAAATGATTGGAGGCCATCCAACCCACCACAAGGAGCATGTGTCAACCAAAGAAGGGACGCCCATTTTATCTATACTAGGCATAAAAGTACAGGAAGCTGCCCAAGTTCCCGGGGATGCAGTCACTCGAGTCAGTGGAAAAAGCTTTGTAAGTTTGTGTTCATATGTTCCTTGCACGGTTTCTCATATTTGAAATAAAAAATGAAAAACAAAATGCGATGACTTTAAAGCATTCCTCCTTCCACAAAAATCAATTCCTAAATTTTGGAGGACGCTTATGAGCCTGTGGCACGGGTTGCTAAGCAATGCGTTATCGACCAAAATTCAAGTTGCATTGTAAAAGTTACTAAAAAAATAGGCGTTATTCTATATAGTTTAGTATATCACTTCATCACATCCATAAGAGAACATTGCTTATTTTTAAGTAAGATTCTGGAAAACTGGATAAACAGTCGTGAAGCAATTAAAAAACATTTTCTGTCATTAAGGAGGTTTTACTACTTTACCAGTATTCAGTATTGCTCCTAAAAACCTTTCTTCTCAGTGACAAAGGCATAAAGTTCACCATATTTTATTTCCCAAAAGTACCTTTTAATTTACTCCTAGCTAAGCTTTGGTTTTCTGATTTCGTAAAAATTAAAAACCAAGTATTTACACAGCCATAACACTGGCAAGTGGAATTAGTCAACATCATAATCACACCATTTAAAGAAATGAAATTTTAGATGGAAAATTGTAAAGAAATTGTCTGATGTAAATTGTAAAGAAATTCTCTTGTTTTTATTGGTTTATTCCCATGGCCTTCTTTTTTCCTTTACTTTAACAATTATTCGCCGAAGGCGAATTGAATATCGGGGAATATTTACCGAGACGCAAGTCTTCGAGCGGCGAGGTAAACATTTTCCGATATTCACTGAGGCTGAGGCAAATAATTGTTTTAGTATAAATACACAGGTGTTCTTTCAAAAAAAAAAAAAAAAAAAAAAAAAAGAAGATAAAAGACACATTTAAAATTAGAAAATTGTAAAAAAATTAGAAAATTGATTAGAAAATTAAAAATTTGAATTGAAGTGACAAACGCGGCTTTCAATTACAACACAGGCGAACTCCGACTTTAGGAATCAAAACAGTTTTTTTGAGCTTATTTGTTATTTGATTGTTTCAAGTCCTTTTTTAACTTTGAACAAAGTTAGTGCAAATTTGTTAGCCTCTTTAGTCTTTTTGGGGACAGCATTTTCTTTCATTATTTCTAATTCCTTTCCGGGTAACAGCAGCAATGCGGCTGGCCGCCATTTTGGATTATCGCTGGAGGTGATTATCGTGTGATAGTGTGAGTTTCTCGACCAATCAGCGCGCGAGATTTTCAATAATCACCTGTGTATTTTTACTAAATTTATTTATTCTTGAGAGATCAACAATTCGCATAGCGCAAAGAACTTTAAATCGACAAATTATGTCCAACGATTAATTTTGTCGAAAAAGATTTTTTTGTACATGAAAAAGTTGTTTGAGTCAAGTAATAGCCAAGAGATTTTTTTATGATATGATTATAAAGATTAACAAAAAAAGATAGAAAATGAAAAAAAAGACCGTAAATGTTTGCTCAGTTGGAAGTGGGTTGATTGAAAGCAAAGGCAGGTGCGCAAACAACATTTTTTCGATACTTGAGTTTGTCGGCAAATCGTGCGAGCAGCGAGCGTCATGGATATCAGTAAAAATAGGAAATACTTGTCGATAATAAAACTTGATGACGACAACAATGGCGGTGAAAATAATTACAGTGTTGAAGATAATGACGACAATGATGCAACATGACAATAATGACAATGTCGATCACAATGATGATGATGATAGTAATGATAACAATGAATGATGACGACAATAACGATGACAATGACGATGCCAATAATGATGACCATGATGAGAGTGACGATGATGATGACAACGTTGTTGTCAGTAATAAATTCCAGAGAGGAAAATTAAATATAAGAAAACCCAAGACAGTCAATTGCTTCTTTTTCTTGGTGGTTTGATTTGTGTTACGTTCGTTTTGTTTATTCGACAAGATGCTTAGTTGAAGACTGAAAACCTCTGTTTGTTCATTGAAATGTTTTGTTAATTTTAACTACATTTCTGAGCTTATCAACATAAAGGATAAGGCGAGTTATAACTTACGGATCTAGCAAAAGTTTATTACTTGCCCCATTTAATCGCAAGACCAGGAAAACAATGGGGGACAGGTAATTTGCTGTGCGGCACCCGTTCTCTGGAATGCACTTCCCGCAGACCTTCGCGCCATTAAAGATGTTAGTTTGTTTAAGTGCCATCTTAAAACCCACCTTTTTAAATCAGCATTTTGATAGTTTTGTTTCAGTATATATCAATATATATTTATTCATTTTATTTGTAAATAGTTACATAGTTACATATATTATTATTGTCATGCGCGCATGATCATTGTATGGAATGCGCGCACAATAAGTGATTAAATTATTATCATTATCATTATCATTATTATTATTATTATTATTATTTTATTATTTCTATTTATTTTTAATTCAAAAGTGAATAAAATATTATTTCTACTGGGCTTAACCTCGTTGTTTTCTTCCTTATTTGTCTACGAATTCCTTTCCTCTAAGTTAAACTTGCTTTTTTTAATCATATTTTATCATATTTAAAGACAAATTTAAAAGAAGATTTACCACCGTTATATTTGTCGCTTTGATCATATCCATTTCTACCGTGAAGTTCACAGCCTTATGCGATAAGACACCTGGTGAACGAAGATTACCCTTTAGATCCCAAGCGGACCTAATCACTACCTACAATGAAGAATATCAACAATTAAAAAATATTTCGATTTTCAACCCTCAAGAAAATTATGGGTTTTTATTTTTATTTTTAACCCTTTAATTGGGAAGTAGTAAAAGGGGTCTGTAGTGGACAAGATGTCTGTCTGTCTAGAAAAAGACAAATACCCCAATGAATTTGTTACATCAACTTTGCAATCTTTTTTTTTTTCCATTTCCAGGTTCATGCCGTGAAGTCTACTCCTGCCCCTACAACCACTGGACACGATGGACTGGGAATGTCCCCAGTGGGACGTGTAGAAAGCAGTCTCGTTTAAGAAGCTACAATGAAGCTGTCAGGTAACTGGATTTTGCCCTACCCTCTACTCTCCTGTTGTTGTTTTTTTCTACTTAGTTTCAGCTTGGTCTTCCTTTTTTTTTTTTGCTTTTGGGGGGAGGCCCGAGGGGGATTTGATTTGGTTGGTTGTTTGAAATGAAATATGTGGTGTCATGATCTTTTTTTAACAGTTATTCCACTCACTCTCGTCGTATATGAGCTCATAGCCAACGAGGCCTCCTGGCAGGGGCTATGAGCTCATGTACGACGAGAGCGAGTGGAATAACTGATTTATTATGCAGACAATCAATGGATCATTAGAAAATGGAATTCAACCATGTTGTAGTTTTGTAACTGAGCCATCTTGTTGTCGACCGATGTGTTAAGTTGCTTTAGACAGGTATTTTTAAATTCGATTTAGTCATCTTAGCTATGGATTTGCCAAACTTTGAAATGCTTTTCAGCTGGTCTAAAAACAAAAAAAGGGGTTATTAATTTTTAAAAATATGATTTGTTTTATTGGTGTTTTCGTTTTTGTTTGTTCGTCTTTTCACGATTTTCGTTTCGCGAGAAAAGTAGAAATTTCTCTAGTAAAATAAAAAAACATTAGCCTTTACCACCAAATACTATTAAGCTATTATAAGTTCCCTTCGTGTGTGTGTGATTTTTTTCTTTCCTTTTCTTTCTTTCTTTTCTTTTTTTTTTTTTTTTGGTGGTGTTTTTTCTCACAGAAGGTTGAGAAATTGGTCGGTGAACAATTTAACATTTTCTCTACTACTGGTATGAGCCGATAGCCTAGTACCGAGTGCGCGATTGTTCATGTCCAGTGGTTGTCCATATAATAATATATGATTATCCTTTTTGTCGCAGGTATGTCATTAGACAGAATTCCTGTGGTGGAATAAAAAGCAGATGTGGAGCTGCACAGTATGACTACAGAACATTCTGTGAGTATAATATGCGACGTTTACCACAACCGTAAGGGGAAGATTCACAGGAATGTATCTGAAAATATCTAAATTGAATTTCCAAATAATATCCCTAAAACATAGGTAAGATATTACGCGCTCTCATATTGGTTGATTAGCTTAATGTGCACGCACATCGTGGGCTCAAATAATGGCGTCGTCGTTGCGTCGGAGTGTGCGCAGTAGCTTCATCTTTCTATATTACCCACCTTAAGCGTAAAAAAAGGAACAATAACCAAGAAAAAAAATAACACGAGATCTGAATTGGGGGGGGGGGGGGGGGATCGCATAGGTTTATTAAACACACATATCATAGAAAACGAACAAATAAATCAATTAATTTCCTAACCTTTTCTCACTTGAATATCATGGGCTCTCATCTCGATCCCTCTTTCCTGTAATTCTCTGCAAGCTTGATGATAATATACTGACTACTGACTTGTAGTTTCATTCACTATTAAAAGCAAATCCTTTTTGAAGCTCACCGCAATCGTAGTAGTTCTTTACGTCCCGCAAACATAAATGTTGCGTGCCTAATGGAACAAAATTCTTGTTATATTAAGATAAAACCTTTCAAAACATTTAATTAAAGAAAGAAATTAAAGAATGAGTTACATAGGAAAGATGAGTAATAGAGAGGTATTGGTTAAGCGAGTGAGGAAATAAATAAGGAAGGAGGAGAGAGGAGGAGAAAGAGGGCACTGTTAAGGGAGCAAGGAAGAAAGGAATTGAATTAGTAGTTGGGTGAGAGAGGGATTGAGGGGGGGGGGGGGGGGGGGGGGGGGGGGGGAGGCCCGAGAAAACGCATGTATGGACGAAGGAACGAAGGACTATGAAAGAAAGAAGGACTATGACTAAAGTAATGCAACATGGACTTCTTGAATATCAAAATAAATGAAAAATCTTGATAATGATTTCCCCCCAGGTGCCTGTCGTTTTGCAGTATGTAGCCTAGGTCAGTGGAGTTCCTGGACAGATCTTTCCAAACCCGTCAGTAATGATCATTGTGCATCGCAAAAGAGGCGACGTAGCTATACTTTTACTTGGGCTTACATGCCCAGAAGAGACAACTGTAATGGCGTTGAACCGCAAAGTTGTCCCAGAGATCAGGAAGAAACGAGAGAAAAAGGTGAGACTTGTTTTACTTTATCCAATGATCTTTTTTTAAATATGCCCAGGAAGGTAAGGGGAAATAAACTTTCTAATTTTATGGATACCCGGCTGAAAATTATAATTTTGCGTGTCAGTTACGTTTTGCGGAGGGAAGAATCAAGAGAAAAACCGAGAATTAGGGAGACTCAACAACCTTTATTCACGTGTGATGCCAAGTCCAGGAATCGAAACCGACACCCCACTGGTGAGGGGCAAATGCATTACCGCTACGCCACCCTTTATTCGCTATAAAATACTAGCTTATGATCTAAACCAGCCTCACTGAAAAAAAAGGAGAGTAAGTTGTAGCGCTTATAGCAAAGGAATGTTCAACAAACCGACTTGACCGACCGGTAACCGACCGACCCAATCTATAACTATCAGACGGATACTGTGGGATTGTCTCCCGGTTCAACAGCCTATTCCAATTTGGAGGCATAATGCTAATCTACTAACAATTCACACTCATGATTGTAAGCTGCAATATAGTATAATAAGCCTTAATATGCAGCCCGTAAAGTCCTCCACTGGTCATGAATGTAAAGCTCATTGAGATATTTGAAATGCGCTATATAAGAAACTCCCATTATTATTATTATTATACTAAATTTATTCTATTTGACTGAATTTCATTTTGCTTAATCAATCAGTCGTTACGTGTTCGCCGCTACCAAGGCCCCCTAACGGAAAGTGGGACCGCGAAGACTGTGTCGTCAACAGTCAAGTGTGCACAAGTTATTGCAGACTACAGTGCAATATCAGAAATGGTTATGAAATATCAGGAACCGATGCCAGACGATGTCAAACCAATGGTCAATGGTCTACGCCTTGGAACTCCTACTGTAAAGGTTTGAGAGATTTATTAGTAATTGCCATGAATGAGGCCTTTGCGTGCGTGCGTGCGTGCGTGCGTGCGTGCGTGGTTTTTTTCCCCACTAGAAAAAAGGTCAAATTTTTAAAAAATGTGGAAGAAAAACATATTGCATGATACTCTCTACTCCGTTCATCATGTAGTTAACTTAAATGATATAATAAATCTTTGCCATTCCAAACTTTCGTTCTTGTATCACCAGACGTTCAAGCACCTACAATAGTTTGCCCGTCCCCTCGGGTGGTCGGCAACGACATAGGCAAAAACAAAGCTCGAATCACTCTACCAACAGTGGTGGCAACAGACAACGACGGCAAAGTACCAAGGGTGACTAACGATGTTGGTGCAGCGGTTAAAGACTTTGAAATCAAAGACACGTACCACATTGTCAAATATACAGCCATTGATGAAACTGGTAACAATGCATCCTGCTTTTGGCAAGTCACGGTTAAAGGTAAAGATGATGAAGGGCTTGTTGCGCATTAGTTAGTATAAGTATATATAAGTAAGTTCTCTCTCATACTCGGTTAATGACACTTTATACACTTTAAGCACTCTTTGCTTTCCCTTTAACCCGCACTATAAGGTGGACTCGCTAAGGACGCCTGGCCCTAGTAACCAGCACCAGCCTCAACAAAAGGCGTGGGAGCCGTAAGCGCCATCAAATTAATTTAGAACTTCCGCAATATACACTAACACTTTGAGGGTCAAAAGTAATACACAAAATGGAAACCAGAATTGCAAGCCGGAGAAGGCGCGTCTGTTCCCCCCTTCCTTATACAACACTGCGTACAATGAAATGACGCCTCCAAGTGATAACATTGAATTCCATTTACAGATACGGAGCGTCCAACAGCTGTGACTTGCCCAGATGACATCAAAGTCGAAACAAACCAGAACCTAATACGCGTAAATTGGAAATACCCAACATTTGTAGACAACTACGACAAACCACCGCTTCGAATCTCAAGTAACAAAAACCCTGGGGTATTGTTTCCATGGGGAAAACATAAAGTCATCTATACAGCATTTGACCGGGCTAATAACAATGGTAGTTGTGAATTCTTTGTTGAAGTAGGCCGTAAGTATCCGCAGGGTGCAGAGGGGGATAGGTTTACTCAAGCTAAACACCAATTCATAGATAATTCCAATTCTTGTATCGATGTAGATAGGTTAGCTTTGTCGAGATATACTATTGTTGTTTCTGTGGTTCAGTGGATGATTTATGAAACTAGTGGTGCACTCGTGTGTTGTAGTTCGCCCCTAAGTTTAAAAGATCAGTAGACGGCTGGGTGTGAGGCTTGTTAATAGGTACGTGGGTACGTTAGTAGATACGGTTGTTGCTGGTTGGAATTGGTATAGATTGTTAAACGGATGAGAAGGTAGGTTTTATTATAGCTGCTAAATTAGAGTTTTACTATTTATTTGATCTATGTATTGCTGGGTTAATAATTAGTGAGGTAACTTTGTTATCAAACTTGTTTGTTAAAAGCTTTCTGATGCGCTGATACAGCATTTGCATTGTAGACATTATGGCGTCATAAACCATGAATTTTAATTTAAGAAATCGCAAAGCATTATGGCATAATAAAATAACGCCATCATGCAAAAGTTCTATTAATGCACTGTTACTTTCCACMAAAAAATAATAGCATTCTCTTCTTAGCTGTTAAATGTCTATTCCATTCGTTTGGCCCACCGCTACACCGAACAGGCGCGTGTAACAACGTTTAATGAGAAAAATAACAACCTTCTTTTTTAGCTGTTAAGTGTCCATTGTTCGACCCACCGCAACATGGAACACGAGCGTGTAACAAAAACGTTCAGTCATCGAACTATGAAATGTTCTGCAACGTGCAGTGCAAGAAAGGATATGCCTTTGCTGATTCGACACCTCAACTGTATATGTGTGAATCAAATGGAATTTGGAAAACAATGACTAATGGAGTTGCRACTCCTCTGGCTAACAGCGAAAAGAAACCTTGGCCTGACTGCGCACGTAAGTCTAGTCTCAGTTCGAAGTCTAGTCTCCTTCCTAAACCCGTATATATAATTACTTGGCATATACCAATTCGTGTACTTCCTAAGAACGCGCGCGCTCATTGGTTAATTGGAGGTGAATATTGTACGATATTCACCTCTGAATCTCGAAATATTGAGTCGGCAACAAAATGGCATCTGCCGGCAATCGTTTTGCTACAATTTCCGATCAGGAAATCGAAAAAATGAAAGTAAATGCCATTCCTGTCAATACTAAAAAGGCAACGAAGTATGCAAACCGCGGCAGAGTAGCAAGACATGCCACCCATATCACCCACCGTGACTAATATTCATTACTTTCTCATTACCAGCCGAGGAGGCAGCGAGCGCAGCTAAGAAGGAGTTCACGTTTTACACAGGAGCTTGCATAGGGGACGAAGGCCAAGCCTTGAATCAGATTCGAAATAACTTCCTCATTGCAATTAGAAATACTCCATTGGCTAAATTCTTACTTTGTGATATTAGCCAAGGTCTAGATTGTGTGGTCAACAATGTTAAAGTGTACTGTGGATCGCGGTAAGGAGGCCAGCATTCTATTCCAACATATGATAGATTTCACTCTGTTGGGTTATAACCTTACAGAGGGTCTAATGGCACTAACAAATAATGAGCGGGAATAATATCAATAATGATCCAAACGTGATGAACCAAATGATAAAGGACGGGACATGAACGAGGACCAGGAGCACTCGTTATACAATGTTGCCAAACCACCTTGCTCAAATTAAGCATTTTTAGTGCCAAAATAATAACCCAAGTGTGGGCATCAAGGATCCAGAGGGAAGTTCTACAAGAACATCACACACACCCTCTTAATTCTCCTCTTATAATAATTATTCATGTTTTACAACGGCATATCGATTCAGTATATATATCTACACTCTCTCGTTTGAAACCCTATGACAGTCACATCAGGATCAGGATTTTCTTTGAAAACTTAAATCTTTGGTATTTTTTTATGATATCATTAGATCTAAGCGGAGTGGAGGGTCAGAGACGCAGAGAATCATCACTTTTGATTTTATCATGAGCGACACACATCCAAGCGCTGACCATCAAATTTTGGTTGAAAAGCTACAAAAAATGCTGAAGGTAGATTGTCATGAAGTTGTAACATTTTGAYCTTCCTTTTATTGCTATAAAGGCTTTGCACCATAACGAATCAGGTCCGTAATCTGGTTTCAGTTTCTTAGGGAAAACGACTCTTTTGTTGTGTTTCCTGTCATCAGGGCTGCCATCACGTGATGATGCAAATCCTCTATAGTATCTTCTGTAGTGGTGGTTGTTATTAAAATAAATGTTATTGCGATGCATATGATTTTATTCTACACTGATTTTCAATCAATCAACCAACCAATCAACCAATCCTTGATCATAATGTAAATCCAGGGACTAAAGAAAGAGAGAGCCTGCGGACCATATCCACCCCTTTCTGTTTTGTTATAATTTATATTAGTCTAGTGTTTTCATATCAAAGTCTACACAGTATTTGAAATCTCCATTATAACCCAACATCCAAAGCAAGGCAATAGCTTCTAACAATTTTGCATGTTTGGCTGACGATGCATCCCAAGGCTGAAGGCATATATTCATTCGCGGAAGACATATTCACTCCACCATGACCTATCCCTCATTATCACCATCATCAACTTTTTTCGACATTATTGATCTAAACTATAGGAGCTTGGGGATCTAGAGATCTACCTGAAGACAAAACTTCCATCACTCTCCAATATGCCAAGCCTTACAGTAGAGGCTAAACAGGCCACAGCATTTTGTCCAGCACCAAAAGTGAAGAGGATTTTGGATGGTCAGGGCTCTGAGATTGAAAGATCAATTTGTGGTAAGCACACTTGGTGTCAGTCTTATATATATGGCGGATCTAATTTGACTAAAAATTGTAAATTTTCCATTTTTCCTATTTTGTTGGGCTACCTGTGGATTTGGCAGAAATGTTCGCGCCAAAACGCGAGTGCTCGCCTCTCCAACTCTGCATCATTAGCTTTATATAATTTACATTATCTGTATATTATCTTTATATAATTTATATTGTCTTTATATTATCTTAATATATAGCAGTGGTGTAGTGAGAATACCGTGTACTGTCGCTACGCCACTGCAATTATATAAAGATAAGATGAAAGTTAATAAAAACTAAAACCAGCTTTGCGAGCTTTCATGCACGTTGACTATTTCGTTCGTTCAATTATCACTTTAATATTATATCTATTTTGAAATATATTTAAAAAAGTCTTTTTGATAAAGAAAACCGTGTTAAATACATGCCATACAATCAGAAAGACAAGCAGTCGTTTCGACAAGCCGTCAGGAGGAGGACTAGTAATTTTGTGATGATCAAGCCATTGTAATTTTTTAAAACAAACATTTTCGCCTCAAAACTATTTATAACCGCCTATTTAAACGAACTAGTAGCTTTGAACTAATCTAAAAACAAATTACTTACGCATAGCTTACATTTAATCACACTTTAAAAAATAGCTGTCCAAAAAGGTTTGAGCTGTAAACGAACAGTCGTCAAGAAGCCAACATGGAAAGATGCCGAATCTTATTTTCCCTCGGTTTTTCGCATAAATATCTTCAACTTACTTGAGCAGCTAGTAGCAAAAAGTATTTTTAATAACTTCAACTGCTGTTTTAAATCTAATCGACGCTAGAATTGATCCAGAAACTCTTTCAAAAATTTTTGATGGCTGCTTTTTTTTTTTTTCAAGAAACGGCGAGTTCAAAAAGTTGAACACTTAAATGGATTCCTTGTTGTGAATTGCTAGAAAATTACATGTTTCTCTTGCGATTGGTTCAAATTAGATGATTTGCAAAATGGCGTAGCTAAAAAGCTGAAAAAAGCTTAAGGTCCCAATGACCGTCCACCTCAATGTCACAAAGAAAAAAATATGAAGCGTTGTTTATAAAACTGCTTTTCGTTTTAGACTCGTAAGTCATTTGCCGTTGAGGTCACATGAAAAAAGCTAAAAAGCTAAAAAGGTTGGGGGGGGGGGGGGCAGCACTATGAAATCAGTGCTGTAGGAAACTAACAAAATGCAAGAAAAGGGCATGTCCCTGAAGGCTTGTGTGAGGCCCTAAAAGCGGTTGCTTAGGAGACTACTAGTAAACACGATAAATATCAAGGGAAAATTATGTGGTTTGAATACATGTTATTACAGTTGAGCCCACAAGTGAGCTATCGTTTTTGTTTTAAGAATCATACAAGTGAGGCTATCGAGCCAATACAATACTCGTTGTCTCATTTGCATGCATCCATAATATCTGCTACAGGGGTTAGGAAAGCGCTTTTTGGATTTTAACTTCGTTGTTTGATATTAAATTCTACAAAGAGCCGACAGACCACCATGTTGCACTAAATCCCTGGTTGAACTCAGAACACGAAGAAGCCCACCAGCTCTTGCTTCTAAAATTTCGTGTAATTTGTATGAAATATTTCTCAAACTTTATCGAAGTAAATTTACTCCAACTAATCCATGAGTATATTTTAAAAATTTGTTGTGTAAAAAACTTTAAAGCCGGGGTCGTGGAAGATATATATTGTTATCTATATATATAGTATATTGTTCTAAAAAGAACAAAACCATTGACTGCAGACTCCATTTTTCAATTTCTCTAGTCGAATGCCCAATAGGGACACACTACAGCAACAACACACAATCCTGTAATCTGTGTGAAGTTGGGAACTACCAGGATAACATAGGCCAAACCTCTTGTAAGCCTTGTCCACCAGGAAAACTTTCGATAGAACAAGGAGCCACGAATGTTACTCAGTGTTATGGTAAGTTCTACGGATTTCTGTCAAGGGATTTACGTAATCATCGTAAAAATCGTAACGTTTTTGATTGGTTAATAAGTGACAAGTCATTCTACTAAAACTTTACAATGTTATGACCGTTATAACGGTGAGCAAAACGTAGGCTGGATATGTGGGAATTAGTCAAAATCGGGGCTGGGAAATGGATTTAGTACCCCACCCTTCAGGACCCTCTACATTGTGTACCTTGTCATCAACCCCATAGACCTGTTGAAACGTTAGGTACTGGGTGTCAGTACATCTCTTTCTGCGAAATAAATTTTTTTTTTTAGAGAATTAGTTAGAAAATATTTAGGATTACTGATAATATGTACTATCCATAACTGTTGCTTTGAAGATGCGTGCAAGCCAGGGGAATATGCACACGTTACAACAGGAGGTGCCGTTACTTGTCTAGCATGTCCAATAGGAAGCTACCAACCGAAAGCACTTTCCAAATCTTGTCTCAAGTGTCCTCAAGGAAAAACAACCAGTCGGGTTGGGGCGTCTGCTTTGGAGGACTGCTCATAAACAAGGTAAGATAGCCAAAGGTCTTGTCGTCGGCTAACACAGAACTGTATGACAAATGCACCCTTTTCTTATCAACTGATGTCTTGAGCATAAAAATAATAAAAGGAAAGCAGTAGAGGGGAGCAGTGGAACTTGGTTAGTACGAAATGCTGTAAGAGTATAAAATGGTTTCCCATTAGTCTTAGCTACGTTTACCATACAACTAGCACGGACTAAATATCGCCGCAAGCTAAAACTGCAATCTCTGTTTTGCCAACTGATTTTTCTTTTAAAAAATGCATAAAGTATTACTAGTATTGGAGCCCCTTAAAGGAAGAAATCGAATTTCGCGCAAAGCAACAACAACGTAAGGGACAGATTTGAATGTACAATTATGGACTCCTGGGCCCAGTTGCATAAAGCTTTCTTAAGATAAAAAAGCTTAAAAACACTCGTAAGTATTGTCTTAGTACAATGGCCTATTGTTTTGGAACAATACTTACGGATGCTCTTATCTTAAGAGAGCTTTATGCAACCGGGCCCAGGAATCTTTCTGAATTCCGAAGAATATTTTTTCCCCCAGGAAGATGTGGATTCAACTCTTCAAGTATACCATTAGAAGACTGATAAAATGACTAGACTATATTGTTAAATCCCTGATTGTACTTGACCCTTTATACCAATAAAGTATATGTACGCAGCTCTAGAAGGTCTCCAGGTAGTAATTTTTACTGACAGCGCAAGTGATCTCAACCTTGTAATATATTGTAATGTAAACTTTAGTTAACCAGGGTGACCAGATTCCTTTCCAAGTTGATTTACCGCCTAAAACTACTCAACTTCAATAATGATATTTTTTAAACTATTCATAATAAATTCAGGTCCATACCTCCAGACATCGCGTGCTGGAACGCCGTATGCCAGCGCAAAGCATTTGCGAGTATGCAGGAGTTTTTCCCCCCTTAGACTAAGGTCAAATGTCGAACCCCACGAGTCGAACCTAATGACATAGAAGAAGACCGCCTTTTTATCCATTGAATTGTTTTCAATTCGTACCGCTTATGTGAAGTTCGACGTTTGACCTAAGCCTAACACTGCTCATCAAATAGCAGTTATTATGGATGCATGCAAATGAGATGCAAATGAGACAAGCATTAAATTAGCCCGATAGCCTCACTTGTATGATTCTTAAAACAAAAGAATTATTCATTGAGGGTTCAACTGTGATAACAGCTATTGAAAGAAATTAACTTGCCTAGAAGAGAAGAAAGAAAGAGGACAAGAGAGGAATTGAAAATTAAGTACCACGTAATAATAAAAAAATCCTAGGTAAAAAAAAAACTTTAATCACAATTTAACAACAAAAAACAAAAAACAAAAATCAAAATCAAAAACCAAAAATGAAAAGTCAAGTTCGTCTCAGTAATTTTTCGTACGATGTAACATGGTGTTACATATGTAACATGGTGTTACATGTGTAACGCCGGATTACCACTGAGTGAGGATGATGAAGGTGACGGTCAGTATCTGGTACAACAAGTAGCCAGAGGTACATACTGCAGAGCTATAGACATCACATTGGTCCTTTGGTGCGGGTAACGGAGTCGTTATTTTTACTTTAGGACCTTGATAATCCGCGTCATTCAGCGAATCCTAAATTTAAAAAATTCAGTCAGCGCCAGAATTTGGATAATCTTTGTGGGTAGAATTGGAGAAATTAGCTGGGATCGTTTTCTTGGGGAAAAGGGGTCAAAGGAACAAATATCATTGGATAAGAGAAGAAGAAA